TGTTTATTCTGTTATATTTTATTTGTTTATTTTGTATAAATCTTGTTTTATTTGTTTGTTTATTTATCTTGTTAATGTTTATTTTATGTCAAGCAACATTTTTTAATGGTTTTAGCTTTGCTTTCAGTTTTAATTTTAGTTAACTATAATAAGCCTACAGAATAAAAGTATTAATTTCTTTAAAAAAAAAAAAATTTAAACAGCAAGGATATCTACCTACTTTCCACTGTAGAAAACAAAACTTCTATCATTTGTCAATGACAAAGCAGATCTTTATTGCGTGTGCAGCAATAATGACTCTGTACTGCAGATAAAAAACATATATATACATTTAAATCCAAAAAGAATATCAAAATATGGGCACACTTTTTGTTACTGATGAAAGACTAGAAACACCCCTGGTTATATTTAGAAATGCATCTTGGATAAAACTTTGTATTATGAATGCAGCAAAAAATCTGAAAATGTCACACCAACCGAACCACTGATTCCATTGATGAATTCCAAAGGGCTGAAATGTTAATGTACTTCAGCATTCAAAGAAAATTAAAAAGAAAACGCATATTTGTACAGGCACTCAGAAAAAAACACCTGCACCATATCAAACCACCTGTCTTGCTTACAGAGAGCTCTATTATACTGTGCATCCTCCCTGGAGAACATTGATCTCCATTCTACAGGACAGCACACAGATCCATTAACTGCCCCGTTTCCAAGAAGGGTCCCCCAGTTCAGTTCCCAGATGGCGCTTGTGCCTCCACATTTACTACATATGGAGGTTTTGCGGTGCAGTTGTCAAGGAAATGGGCGCACAAGTGCACAACCAAATGCACCAGAGGAAAGTTGAGTGCTTGCTTATTTTTCACAGCGAGAAAGCCTGAGATCATTTCAAAGCCTTCTCCTAGTGACGAAATTCACATACACCTGCATTTACCAGCTGGTGCAGGAGACGTAATGGCTAATTCAAAAACTAAAAGTCATTGTGAAACAAAGAAAAAGCCAAAATATCCAACACAGAGAGATGAGCTGACACCCTTTTTGAGAGAAGATTGTCTTTTAAATTAGACATGTGTCCAAAAATATCTAAAGTCATTTTGACTTGCTCTCAAACCCACATTGACAAATGAGAATTTAACACTCCACAAAAGAGTGTTTTCTCTTTTCTTAGAAACTGCAAATGGCATTCTCTAAGCTCAACCTCAGAGAGCAACCTTGACATCAGAAGTGTTGCAATTTCTGTTTTCCATCAGTGCTGGGGTTTAGAGTGGCTAAAACACACGGATGCAGGTGATAGAGGAAGATCATTAGCTGCCCCAGGTGGGAAAAAAGGATACTTTTTCTGGCTATTACATTTAACAGTGATACTTTACGCAAGGTCATGGTACAAGGTCAAGGTACAAGACCGTGTATGTAACAGCTTTAATGAGGGAAAGAACTACAATCCCATTAACTACCGCAAATAACATAATTTAAATAACTATCCAAGATTAAATTATGTGGGCTGATGGCTTCACAAAAAAAAAAAAAAAAATCATATAGACCCTTTTCCTGAGTAAACGATAAGCGCCACCATTACGAATTCTAACTTCCAATTGGATGCTCTTCTGTTCCGGTCTCCATAGGAACCCATTCAAATAGAGCCCATCTGTTTTTAATGTAGCTATCATCTGCAGCTTTGTGTCATCTACACACTCATTAAACTTTGAGGAGTGAGGCACTGACAAATGACAGTCATTGCGACATTGTAAAGTGATGGTGCTACGGAGCCATGTGCTTTTTTAAAAACATTTTAATAGGTTTAACATTAGATCGGCTTGGAATATACGCTAATTTGACTAGAAAAACTGGAGACCGGAAATGCAAAGCATCCTTCTGGTTAAGAGTCAGGCATAACTTCCACGTTCAGGAAAAATGTCTATACCATCGATTAATGACCTTGGAGCTCACAGATTTGTCTTTAAATGTTTATACCTGGAAGTTGCTGTTAAAAATCAATTTCCCTATGGAGAAAATGAATGCCATTTTTACTTCCAGAACCTTGCACTCTATAAACAAGTCTTGAACATGGGGGCAGTAAAAGAGCAAGGATAAGAATTTTTGGTAATATAATCAATTTTAACTGGACTATTAGCAAATAGCATTTTTATTTTAGAAATATAATACACACATTCACTCTTATTAGTATATGCCTAATATGGCGCAAAACGATTCCAGTCACGTCACATTCAGTTATGAATTACTTTAATTCAAAATGACAATATTTGACAAAGTCAACACTGGATGTTGGTCGTTTAACATTTGTATCACAAAACAGATGTCAAAAATTAAATGTTTAACTGCTTACATCTTACCTCACTTTCTTTTACCGTTAAAAACTGAAGCGTCGCACTGAAATTCATTTTCCATTTCTGTGAACAGTAAAGCCCCGCCTTCTTTCATGTGATTGGTCAGCTCAATCATTGTGACATCGACGACCGCTATTTATGTAGCTCCGCCCCTTTTCAGCGCTGCGCTTGTTGTGTTCTGTCTGTATTTCCACAGCATGAAGGTAAGGTTGTATGAATTTATGAATGAATCGGCCATTTTAAAGTCTTACCATTTGTTATGACATCCGCTTCAAACATTACAATGCACATGATAACTTCCATTAACTCTACAACAGGTAAATCCACTTCACCAGCTAATTACTCTTAAACAGTTTACTCTTATAGAGCCAAAGCCACTAGAAGGCAAGCCTGCAACCTTTAGCCGAAAAAGCGTAATGGCTAAAGTGAACGCTTCCGCTTTGGCAGGACATGGGAAAGGAGACCAGAGGCGCTTCACTACGCTGAATAAACAGCTTTTTAGAGGAAAGGGCTTATCATTTAATGAATCGACAGCCTATCTGCTAATCTTCAACATGTTTTACACTAAACAATACTTTTGGATTGAACTATTTTTCGAGTTTACCACGAACAAAAACGCAGTTTTATAAGAGAAGTTACTAACCTTTTGCGACAGTTGGGATTCAGCTTATGGCACTTGTCATTCATTCCTAATATGGTATCCGTAAACGGCGACTGAGTGTCGCACAACTCTGACTGAAATTCAATGATGTCAAGGCTGTAATGTGATTGGTTATTAAAGGTTAGTTCACCCAAAAATGAAAATTCTGTCATTAATTACTCACCCTCATGTCATTCTAAACCCGTAAGACCTCCGTTCATCTTCGTAACACAAATTAAGATATTTTTGATTAATTCTGAGAGCTCTCTGACCCTCCCATAGACAGCAATGAATTTTCATTTTTGGGTGAACTATCCCTTTAAGGCACACGTGATCCAAGTTAGCCATTATGCTTTCTCCAATAGTAATACCGACCCTCTCATCAAACTCTGATAGAGCTAACCCCAAAAACGGAAGTTCAAAGACAAAATTCTAAAGATGGCTGCGCACTTTCTCTAACGCATAAGGTCTATAAGCTATATTACCCAAATGTGCAGTAGGAGCGATCAGGGATGGTTGGAACACAGTGCAGTTGTAACACTTCCAATTTCTCAAATAAGGAATAAGTTACTAATCACCTAATTCACTTCACACATTCTCATTTTAGTCCTTATTCCAAATGTGAGGAAATAGAGCCCTGTGGTAGACACAGCAGATTTTGTAGGAGAAAAACTAATTTTAAGTAAAAAAAAAAAGCTACTTTTTTATATTTAATTGATTTTTGTGATGACAGTCCCTGCTTTGTAGTTAAACTCATCTAAGTTAAATTATATTTATTGTGTGTCTGTGTAGATATTTTTCATGCAAGCTGCTAATGCTTTGGCGGTTAGCTGTAAGGTGATCTAGTTTATGGCTACAAGACTCTAGGATAGTTGTAACAGCAAGACTCAGGGTTAGTTATAACATCAACAAAACATATGGGAACTTACTCCAAACAATTATTTTGTTTTATTTATAGGTTTTCTTTGAATTTCAGTATGCCTAGGTCTTGGAAGAGAAAGACCAGAAACCAATGGGTGCCTCTTACTATGTTGAAAATTGTGCTGAAATGTCAGTGTTGAATAAAAAGCTTTCAAAATCCTTTTTTTTTTTCATAATCCTTGTTGCATACTGTTACATCTCACCCCGGTGGATATCGTAATGTCACATCTCACCTCAGGGTATGTTACAACTAACCTGGACGGGGTGAATTGTAACATTTCACTCTTTGTGTTTGAAACCAAACTATGCATTTTCTGTTTGTGCTGCAAAGATAACAGCCATGCCATTTAATAGCATACACTTGTAACTAGTTTGAATTACATTTTGAACGCAATGGCTTAAAAGAACTCCAAGATACAGACAGAAATGTCAAACTTCCCTAGACCTATAAGACTAAAAAGAATACTGCACTGGAAATGATTTTCGTCGCACTGTTTCGACTACAATAGTAAGCAGCAGAAAGTACTATGCAGTACAGGACACTTGTATACTAATTTAACTAAATAGCCTTTTTAATTCACACAATAATTAATTTTTTTTTTTTTTTTTTTTATCCGCTGAAAGCCTTGCCCTCCAAAGATAAATCAGACGACCTGCTGACATAAAACTCCAGCACGTAAAATGACTGACAGGCAAAGAGTCTTTTTGATTGCCCAGGTATTCTCTTTTTCAATGTTTAGAGAAACAGGTGTGAAAAAAAAACACTTACTCCACTTTTGAAGCAGCACATCATCTAGTGAGCAAACATGCACTATGATGAATTAAGAGCACACTGATTGCGATCATATTCTCACAGAGAACAAAATAATATTTAGCAAAACAATACAAAGTTAGTACAAGAGATACGGAGAAAACCCAAAGCTCAGTCTTCAATCTTAACGCGTTAAATAATATAATTAGCCTGCTAGACCACAAACAACAGATTAAAAGTCTGTCCTAGTTATGAAGATGCTTCTCACACAAATGTGCATTGTAAAAAGTGCATTCTATAAATGTAAATGGGTGAATAAATACATGAGGTTGTGCGTACTCACAGTTGTAAAAGATGACAACCACAGCATCCCGTGAGCCCACGAGCGCATGTCTCCTCCAGTCGTGTCCACAGCGCGCGCTGACAGCAGTAGTTGGATCAAATGCTTTATAGACTGACTCTGACCAATCAGAGGAGAGAGAGAGGAGAGAGAGCACATCATTCATAATCCTGCACAAACCATTGCATCTCTGCTGCAGACAGGGAATTCTAATACTTTCCTCAAACCAGACAGATAAGAACCTGTTTTTGAATTGCTGCATTGATATTCCTCAAACACTCGGTTGGTTCTAAACATTTAGAGCTTGGTATTAAAATTCCTTAAAGTGTAGACTCAAAGTTCAGTGCAAATAATTTCATATTTAGGTGCACTGCATTTTTATGGAAGCTTGCTTTAACCACTGGGGAAATAAATACATACATAAATAAAGCTACTTTTTAATCTCACACATTTTTTCCCTAGCAATCTCAGAATTCTGAGGGGGGGGAAAGGTGATAAAAAGTCGCTATTAGGCTACCTTAAAAAATACTGATGCGAAAATGGGCGTCCTTAATTTTTTATGTATATGTACTTTTTAAATGCACTTAGATGGTGGACTCAATAGTTTTTGGTAACTCAAAACATTTGCACAAAGAAATTAATAGCATTTTTTAAAAATATTAAATGATGTACACTTACATGAGATGCATTTACTCTCCCAGAAAATGCGGTTTTATTCTACATGGAGAAGGTCGCCCCCTCATGTTGGCATAACATGACCAGCAATGTCATGCAAACCACCAAGTTACTAGCAGAAACATGATCTATAGAGATCTAGTGAGCAACACACATCACATAACCTTCCCAATACAGATGAAACAGCCTCAATTAGGCCTAGTCATAAAAATATTTTAAAAAGTCTGTTTATCATCGTGTGCATGCATACAGACAAGTGATTGCTTATAAACAAGCAACTTTATACACTTATAACATTATACAATACAACTTTATTACACTTAAAGGGTTCTGAAATTTGTAAACATTGCGCTGTGATTGCATAGATTCACAGATATTAAATTCAGTGACATTCATTAAATATTTACAATTTCCTGAACAACCGCTTTTAAAAAGTACTTCAAAAGCAGTGTTGGGGGTAATATATTACAAGTAACGCAAGTTACGTAATCAGATTACTTTTTTCAAGTAACTAGTAAAGTAACGCATTACTTTTTAATTTTTTATTGCTGAAGTGTGTTGAAATTTCTTCTTCTGCATTCTACTGTACGGACGTAAATTTACTTTCCCTTCAGCCTGAGGCTTATTCATTTCACTTTTGGTGTGAAAAGGCTTTTATATTTGCCAAAAATATAACTTTTTTATTTTAAAATCAAACAAGCAAGCCCTGTCCGGATTTAAAAAGTAACGCAAAAGTAACGTAATGCATTACTTTCAATAAAAAGTAACTAAGTAACGTAATTAGTTACTTTTTTTATGGAGTAACGCAATATTGTAATGCATTACTTTTAAAAGTAACTTTCCCCAACACTGTTCAAAAGTATCAATTTATTTAAAATACCATTTTAAAACTCTTGTAAAAGGACAAGTCCTATTAGGAAAATATTTAAAATTGCACATAGTTCAAAAAGGAGCTTGAGATATAAATATATAAACGGATCTTCTTAAGAGCAGCAGTCTAGTTCAGCTTTGTCACCTGGAAAATTATGTGAACCGTACACCTGAATAAACATGCGTGTCTTGCATATTTGCTTAAGTTGTTGCATAAAAAAAACTAAGCGAGACACATTTAACAGCGCATTTAACAGCCTTAGTGTTCATGTTACTAATGTTTGATGATCTACCAGGATGAGGATTCACTGATGCATATACAGAAAGGAGGCATTAAAACTGAACGTGTCAAAAAATATTATGTATCTGAGCATCAGTAAACCAATTTTATCAGATCAAAATACTGACAGCCTTATATTCGCAACAATATACTCTGTGCAAGAGCTAAATGACTATAAAGTATGTGCCATTTTATTCAATGTACTGTATGCAAAAATTACTGCATGGAGTAGACTAAATAAAAAAAAAAGTGCCATTTATATATTTATAAATGGTGAATATAAAGCAATTTAGCTGACCCAAGAATAGTGAGTAGTTCAATAGTTCTACTGCTAACTTACCAGTGACAATTTGACCTAATTGGTGGGGACTACAAAAAGTAAAAAAAAAAATAAAAAAAAAGATAAATAAAAAAATAAAACTGATATACTTTTACAGGACTCTGTCATGACACAATATCTTAGCATCCAGCTTTGAGTAAAAAAAAAAACAAAAAACGTGTTTTAAACGCATATAAACATGAGACGCTTATTGCTTTTTTTGAAAAATAGTTGTACCTTGTATGAAATTCTCATGTTGTTATAAAAAGACTAATGCAGCATTTCTTAAAAAAAAAATACGCCAAAATACCAAAACCTCTGAGAATATAGTATTTTGTTCGACATCTGTAGTGGAAGTGTAGTGTGATATCTTTTAAAGGAACAGTTCACCCAAAATTAAAAATTTGCTAAAAATGTACTCACCCTTCGGTTACTCAAGTTGGATGTAGATGAGTTTGCTACTTCATCGGAACAGATTTGGAGAAATGTAGCATTATGCCACTTGCTCATCAATGGATCCTCTGCAGTGAATGGGTGCCGTCAGAATGAGAGTCCAAACAGCTGATAAAAACATCACAATAATCCACAAGTTATCCATACGACTCCAGTCCATCAAGTAACATCTTGTCAGTTGAAAAGCTGCATGTTTGAAAGAAACAAATCCATCACTAATAGGTTTTAATTTCAAACTGTTGCTTCTGGACAAATTATGAGTCCATAATCCATAGTAAATTCCTGCAGTGAAAAAGTCCATCTCTTGTTGTCCTCTCACATCAAAATCCACCCACATATTTGATTAGAACTCTTTTGGACTAGTTTCGCTTGCAAATGGTGCTTGATCTGTGCATATTTCTCTCCTGATTCAGACAAGACAACTTTTTTCACTGGAAAAAGCAAGATTATTGATAGAGGACTCATATTTTAGCTGGAAGCAGTTTAAAGTTAAAAATGTCTTAATGATGGATTTGTTTATTTCAAACACGCAGCTTTTTATTTCACAAGAAGTTAACTGATGAACTGGTGTCTTATGGATTATTGTGATGTTTTTATCAGCTGTTTGGACTCTTATTCTGACAGCTCCTATTCACTGTAAAAGACCCACTGGTTAGCAATTGATGCTAAATTTCTCCAAATCTGTTCTGCAGAAGAAACAAATGCATCTATGTCTTGGATGGCCTGAAGGTGAGTATATTTTCAGCATTTTGTTTTTCAATTTTGGGTAAATTATTTTTTAAAGCTTAATTTGCGATTGTCTCACTTTCTTTGCATATTAACCCATGTGAGCTTCAACTGTCCTGTATCACTGGTGCTTTAAATTCATCTGTAGTGTTTGTAAAATCATTTTAAAATACTGAATCCACAAGGAAAATAAAACACACAAAAAAGATTCATCAAAAGCAAATAATCCTCTTCCAATAAGTACTGTTGAAAGTGTTGTAGAAAGCCCTTCATAACACTTAACTCAGTTCACCACAGATAACCTTAATGCTATCAGCAATAAAACATCTAATACTATACTAACCCATCAAATTCTAAAACAGAAACCCTTGGCACACAGGAACAGGTCTGAGATGAATAAGGATAAAAATAAAACACATCAATTTCCCACGAGGACTCTACACACCACAAAGCCACATTTAAGGGAAGTCACTTCCATCATAGATGATGGGCTTCTCAATGGTCAGGTGGTAGTTGACCTTCTTGGAGAGAAATCTATGGAAAAGAAAACACAGGAGAAGCAGTGATTGTTGCATTCCATCTTTCCTATTAATAACTACACTGTAAAAAAAATATGATTTTTCGAAGTTATAAATAAAACAATGATTAGTGCAGTATGTTTAGAAAGAAAAGACTATTTCCGTTTTTCTACTTCAAAATTTCACGTGTTCAATGTCTTGCTTACCGTTTCTTTGTAACTGTGAATATTGTTTCTACACCATTTTTTTTCAATGTACTAAATAAAACGGTCATTATAATTTTAGTGCATAAGCAGCAACTCAATAAATAGTACTGATATTGTTTGATGCTGCTAGGATAATGATATACATAAAAATGTTATATCATGTAAAATGTCAAATCAATTTATTTATTTAAATTATACTTCTCAGTATTAAATTAAACCAGTCTATTTCTCTCAACTCATTTTTGGAACAGGCTTTGCAGAAAAGTAAAATCAAAATATCTGCAGGATTTATGCAGGTGAATTGAAGACCCTTTTAAGACCAAGCAAATAACATTTAAAGGGATAGTTCACCCAAAAATGAAAATTTGATGTTTATCTGCTTACCCCCAGGGCATCCAAGATGTAGGTGACTTTGTTTCTTCAGTAGAACACAAACGAAGATTTATATGCATTTATTTTTACCTATTTGCTCAACGACTCCCAAACGATTCATTTAACGATTTATTTTTCCAAACCCCTCCTTTGCGTCACGCTAATCTGCGGTGATTGGTCGGATTGGTCTCATTTTCATTTAATCTTGCCTGTAATTCCTGATACAGCAGCGTTTGTGAGTGCAGTGCTGCTTTGTTTACAGCGTTACCGGGGAAACAGCTATTTTTACCGCTCCAAAAGCGGCACCTAGTGGCAAAGAATGAATTGCATTTTCATTCAGACCAACGCGAAAAGACCAGCAAGTGGGCGGGCAATATGCTAATGTTTCATGTTGACGTCAACATGAAACGGCTTGGGATTCGTTTTAAAAACGACTCGTTTCAATGATTCAGAGTCGACTCTTTCTTTTGAGAGACAATAACTTTATACACGGTGCACTTTCAGATTTAAAACTTGCCAGGATGTTTTCATTCACTTAGAGCTGTTACACACTGCATGAAAGGTAGTTTTCAAAAATCCATAATAGGGGCACTTTAAGGAATAAATTCAAGGGGTCAGTATGTTCTCTAAATGTGAATGTAAAGGCAGTTTTTTTTTTTTTTTGAGTTTATGATTAAAACATGAACAAACATTTTCCAGTGGGATCAGAAAAATCAACTTAATTCAAAGAGAAAACAAGTTTTTATTCCCTATTTGTTCTTGTTTTGAGCATAATCGCACTTAATTTTGATCAGTATCTCAGAAAACAAGACAAATATATATCAAATATATCTCAAATAAATAAATCTTGATTTAAAAATGTTTGGAACAAGACAAAAACAGAGGAAGAACTTGAGAAGAATTTTTTGCAGTGCATGTAACATATAATGCCATGACTTTATGAATTTAAGACTTTCTGTCTTCTTAAGGCTCTAATTTGTGGATGGGTGAATTAATACTTTTTTAAGACCTGCAGAAACCCTGTAAAATGCACTGCAGCTGAAACTGTAGTAAATATCAGCAAAATACTATCAGTCAAAAGGGTAGATATTTTCTGAGAAGCACAAAAGCTCTGAAAGGTTCCCTGGAGTGTGTAAATGTCAGCTGTGTGTTACTGTACCTGGAAAACGAGTTATCAAAGATGAGTGTATAGACTCCAGGATTGCGGACTTTCAGTTGGCCCTGTATGGTTTCTTTGTGTGAGTTACAGCGTGTGAGAGGAATCAGAACCTGAACCACAGGGACATAAAATAGATTTAGCACTCTATGAAGTAAAAGGGCTGCTAGGATTTATGCTCGTCATTTCATGGAGTGAGAACGGCTTCCAGAAGATAAAAAGAAGGATGCATTTGAGAAGCTGCCACACTGAAGAGATGTAATAATGCAAGCTGATGCAATGTCTGTGATGTTTGTGAAGACATGCAGCCTGCAGCAGTTTGCATTATCCTAACTGATTATTATTCAACATACAGTTATCATACACAGTCTAGTTTACTGTAAATAACAAAGCAGTCAATGTTGGGGAAACTATATTACCTATTAAAAATAGTTTTCATTAACTGAGATAAAGCTGAAATAATCTAAGTAATCTAAGTGTGAAATAATCTAAGTATTCAATGAAAACTTAAAAATCTTCATCTTAAATAAGTTCAAACACTACAACTAAAAAAAAAGTTAAAATACTAAAACTAAAATAAAACTGAAATATAAATTA